CTTTTTCCGGATCATATTCTGCGCCCACTGCGTGAGTTTGAGATGATGGACGATGTCCCACTCTTCACTCATGAGGAGCTGGAGACTGCCGTTTTATCCCTAAAAAACAACAAGGCTCCTGGACCTGATGGGGTACCTGGCGAGGCTCTTAAGAAGGTTTTTTCAATCAATCCCCTGATTCTTCTGAGCATGTACAACGGGTCTCCTATCGCAACGGAGTCTCTTGCGGGGCATTGACTCATCACAAGCCGAGGCAATCAGCCCCATCATCGATGTAACTATAGCCTCTGCATGAGCCATGCCAGGTGCGGCAGGCACCGCTGGCACTCCCCGCAGGATGGCCTCGGTGAATTTAGCCACGTCCAGTTTTTTGGTGTTCCACCGAACGGGCACTTCCCGAGATGCAGCAACTTGTCTCGGGATGCGATCTAAGACATTGAAAATAATGTATTGATGGTCGCTGGCCGTATAATCCTCCAAGACTCTCCAGGCTGTGATCCTTGGCAGAAGAGACTCAGATGCGAGGGTTATGTCTGGGATCGTTCCCCTCATCCCGGGAACGTACACATTTATAATACTATAGGTATCGTATATCAAAAAGATAGGTTATACAAAATCTACAATGCTTAGGTCCGATGAACACAACTGTTAACGTGATACTCTGTACGAGATACACTTTACAAAGTGCAGTCTGTCAATATCACGATTGTTTAGTACCGGTAGTTCAATTTGTTGATTTATGAAACGCACCTTTTCTTTCGTTTTCCTGTCTGTTAGTGGGGCACATCCTTGTCGCGCACTGTTGATTCTGATGTAGGTGTCGGTTTGGGCAGAAGTTAAAGTGTTTAGAAAAGTAAAAATGTTTAGGTGGCTTGAACTGCACGACATGTTGAACCTTGAGTGGAAACTCTCACAAGTCATAATGTCATAACACATTAATGTTAACCTATGAAATGTTCAATAAAATTAAATATATGAATATAATTATATAATTAAGAATATATTTCTATAAAAATAAATCCTACATTGGCCAAACAAGTCGTAGCTTCAAGAAATGGTTCCACGAACACATACAAGCATTAAAATCAGGTAACAAAACGACAGTGAAATCAAATTTTGCAGAGCACCTAATTGAAACGTGACATGAATATAAAAATATGATCCGATTTTCATGAATTTTGGTATAAACGTGTAAACCTACGTTAACGAGCTCGCGAACCGGCATGATCGGACCATGGGAACGAGGGTTTAATGGGGGAAAAATGCATTTTTCCATCCTTTGACCCTAAAAACAAAACATTTTGCTATTTCTTTCTAAACCATTTTGTAGAGCTTAAAAAAAGAAATAATTTAGTATATTGAAGCGCTGTTGTATGCCTAACGGTCACGGAGAAAATTTATAAAAAGTGTAATTTAAAATTCCCATGTCATTCTCATGGAGAAAATGAAAACTGTTGGAGTTTACTTGTGTTGTTGTGGTTTACGGATATATTTTGATAAAATTTGGCAAATTTATTTATTTCATTCTATACAATTGACGTATGGTCAAAAAACATGTTTTACCTTTCCCGTAGTAGCAAACCTCGTTAACACTTGTTAAATCTAATGTTATTGAAATTGGGAATAAATATGTCATATTTATAAAAAAAATGTAACCAGACAAGTTGAAATTCGCTTCGTCTGCAGGTTTGCTGCGGTGGGGGTATTTTATTGTCCTTGATGATTTGTAGAAAGTTTTTCAAACATTGTACTTTTGGATATTTCATGTTTAGTTTGATATACTGAAAATAAGAATGTGTCTTTGATAAATTTCTTCAGGTGTCTAGGTCTGATAATCACAAAATTGAAAGTTCTCACCAGTATTAGAGACCACTGCTCTTCTATTGCTTATAGCTATATTTTTATAACCTTTTACTTTAGAAGATATATTTATTTATGGATAAGACCCTCACTAAAATAGTATAACAAGAGTAAACTATGGTACGTCACTCGTCCAAAATGTGTTTACTGGACTCGTATGGTAATACTTACTTACCGGTACTTACTTTTCGTCCAGTAGACACATATTTTCAGGACTAGTAACGTAATAAGCTATAATGTGCTTAATCTGCCATGTCTGATAGACAAGCGAAGAATTTCACACAAGAGGTTCATTGTTGTTGCCAGCTGTCTTCTTTCTTGATACATCAATTCACTTATATTTTGGCTTTTGAATCATCTAATTGTGGGATTTTAGGAAAACTTAACCCTTGTTTTGAATAACATGTAACATGCACTTTCTTTGGTCACTCGGGATTTTCTAGGAATTCATCGCCGCGCGCCATCTGCCTGGGCGTGGACCATGTGCCCAGCCAAGGTGAGGATTAGTGAACCCTTTTTTTACAGAGGTTTACAGATACTGTCAGATCTGAATTGCTACCGACTAAAAGAGGAGGGCTCTGTCCTAGGGCCAGTTCTGTTTGGGCTTTTTATTAATGACTTCCCGGAACACCTTGAGGAATACAGCAAGATGGTCATGTATGCAGACGACACTGTGCTGCTTACAGCAAACAGAAACATAGATCAACTAGAAGTAAACACCTATTTTGCTTTCAATATGACACAGGACTACTGTATGAAAAATGACGTCTTCAATGAAAGTAAGACCAAGCAAATGACTTTTGGAAATAAAAAGTCTACAGTATCTGAAATGCCCAACCTGACAGCAGCTGAAGAAATCAAACATTTAGGTGTCATAATTGATGAAAATTTATCCTGGGATCGTCATGTAGCTTGTCTTTGCCAAAAACTCGGGCCAGCTCGTTTTGTCATAAAACGAACCAAAGAGACTAGTACCCCTGAGGCAACGAGGACTGCATACCATACATTGTTTGAAAGCCAGCTATGGTATTACTGTCTGGGGTGGATCCACTATGGACAATCTTAACCGGGTCCTGGTTATGCAGAAAGAGCTATCAGAATAATACCCCTGCTGCAGCAAACCTGCCGACTAAGCAAATTTCCATTTGCCTGTATTGATTTTCAATTAATCTATTAAATTAAAATTTATGATTAACGAGTACCTAGGTTAGCTGCTACAGGGAAACTTATAAAGTGTGTTTTTTATTAAAATATCAATAGTTTAGTATGAAATAAATAAATCCGCCAAGTTTGATCAAAATATACCCATAAGCAAGCCAACTACAACATTTTACAATATCCACCATAAGAATAACATTGGAATTTTAAATTAACGATTTTTTGAATTTTCTCCATAACCATTCACCGACCAAAAAAAAACTTTGATATACTATATTATTTGTTTTTGTAAGCTCTTTAAAAAGGTCTGGAGAAAAATTTATAAATTTTAGGTTTTAAGTTGAAAAATGAGAAAAACCAATTTTTACCCCATAAAACCCCCCGTTAAACCCCGTTCCCATGGTCCGATCATGCTGGTTTGCGAACTCATTCAAGTTTATCCCGCCTTACACCTTCAAACCAAATTTTATCAAAATCGGACAAAAATTACTCAAGTTATCGTCCGGACGGACACATATATATATGTCTCTATATATACACATATACAAATTTTAACGAATGGTGTTTTTGGCCTCTGGGGACATCAAAATGAAAAAAAAAAAAAACGGTCCCGGGCCTAGGTCTTACCATGAGACCTACGGTAATAGCTACTTCCCTATAGTGAAATTCGGTAATTGCAGGCATAAGTAAAGATCAAAGCTGTAGAGATGCCTTTTAAACCTGAACATCCTGACGGTGACTTCCATCTACATCCTAGATACTGTTTATTACTGTGTAACCAAAGATCCGCCTAAACAAAGAGATATACATGAATACAACACCAGATATGCAGGATTCTATGTGCTGTCTGGCCACAGAACAGCAATGTTAGAAAAGAAACCACTGTATGCAGGAGTTAAGATGCTAAACAAGCTACCAGTCCACTTGAAAATTGGAGGCCCTGTGCTGATGAAGAGGAAGCTACGGAGCTTTGCATGGCAAGACCACACACAACACTGAAGAAGCTTTTCCATTTCACTTTGTATCTATTATACCAATGTTATTTATTTAAATTTGACTCTGTAACATTTCTTGATGAAATTGTAATAAAGGATATTGTCTATTGTCTATTGTCTATAGGGAATAAAATAAACCATCGGTTAAATTAAATTACAACAGCCACATAACCTCAACAATTTCCAAAATTAGAAGTAGAGTACCTAATTAAATTAATCAAGTAATTCCAAAACACTCTACCATATGTATTAGAGTCCCGATAGTCTGAAATTGTTGGGACCTGACCCATTTCGGACTACCAAATATTTCGGATTAAAAAAATGTTTTTAAAATTGATTTTTTAATATTTTTTTTCTTGGACGCTAGGCACAAGACCAGGATTGTTTTTCACATTACTTCAGGACCTAGGGACCAAAAAAATCCATTGGTGATTTGGTGGGATTTGAACCCGGTACCTGAGGGACCGAAGCCCCGCATTCTAACCACTAGACCAGCTCACTGCCTGGTCAAATTGTTAAATTCATAGCTTCTACCTGTTCGGCTGCTACAGAATACTTCGACAAGGTACGACAGTGCTAGCAGTTTCGGCTTTTCCCAATAGGTGACGGCACATACTGGGTCTTCACTTTTTGTGTGCAAAATAAACTGCATTAATATCGTCACACAATGTTGCTAAAAGTTTAGACTTTCTCCGATAAGTGAGTGACAGCACGTACTGGATGAAAAAAAAATTCTTTGGTTTCTAATTGAGTGGATTTTTGGATTACCGAAGTTCGTATTATCGGGACTCCACTGTGATATATTACAACAAATATCCCTCAACAGATTGCATGACGCTAAATTTTCTTTAGTATCAGTTAGCTTAAGCTGCCAGAAAATATTGAGCTATGTTAATTGTGCTGTGCATAGGTTAAAATTCTTGTCCCTCACACAAATATTTTGTAATTTACAACCAATTATCACACTGTCCAACTGTGTTGTGACAGGCGTTCAAGTGGAGTATGCAGGCTATCCAGGAGCTGAACGAGCACTGCTCTCCTCGGGTGACCATTGAGGCTCTTAGCCAGGCCAGCAAGGCGTGTATTGTCAAGCGAGAGTTTGTCAAGGCAGGGGAGCTGGTAAGACAAGCTGTACACCTAGCCAGGGATATCTATGGACCACAACATCCCAAGTTTGCAGACACACTGTTGGACTATGGCTTCTACCTGCTCAACAATGACTGTATCAAACAGAGTGTCGCTATCTATGAGGTAGGCTTTACTATGTACAGTAATAATATGTGGAGGGACTTTAACAGTTTGACATTTGATAACAGTAGTTCATTTGTCAAATTAGAGCAAGTAGTTTGGGAAAAGTCAAGTACCTACATGTGACAAGTATTTTCCATTACCTAAAAGAAAATTTTATTTTTAAACTTCACTGATTTTTATTAATAAACTAAACCGTATCAGCAATCTGACACATACTTTCTCCCGTAAGCTTGTCAACAACCTTTATCATGGGTGGTGGGAGTAACTATGATATTTGATATTTGAAAATCTTTAAAGTTGCAATAACTTTTGAACTATAATTTTACGGAAATGGGATTTGTACAATTTTGTTCAAAATTTAAAGGATATTACATACTAATTTTAATTGAAACCGGCTTATTTCTAGAATTTGATTTTTTGTTATTTTATGGGGTTTTTATGCAAAAATTACTATTAAAAAAAACACCAGGAGATACTATGGATGAATACATACATACAAAAATTTCATCAAAATCGGACAACATGTGTGGTCTGTAGCTCTGTACACATCCACACACACACGCAGTAGAAATGTGCGAGTACTCGAGATTTCGAGTTCGAGTCGAGTACGGCCTTGAAACTCGAGCTTATCTTTGAACTCGTCAGTTTCGAGTCGAGTTTGGTTTGGATTTGTAAAAGGATATACAAATAACAACATAAAAACATTATTATACTTTCTATTGTTCTTCCATTCTTTCTTGGGGTTCCCTCCACGCATTCAACAAGTTGCCATGGTTACTAAATGCCGTCGAGATAGCTCCGGATCCAATCTACTAATCTCAAGACTTCCTTATTGACAATCAACTACTGTAACTCGATAAATTCATTCAATTTTTTATTTTGTTTAACTTACAGTATTGATGACTTTGACTGTTGACTGTTGTAGGAAAGTAGTAGTGTAGTCCTCTTGCTAGCTCTGCCGAATGACGATATGGATGGTTGTTTGTTGAACATTTAGTTTACGCTGGGCTGGACTAGCCTTTGTATTAAGTTGGATGGTTGTTTTTTTTTTTTTTTTGTAGGAATGGGGATTAAATAAGGCATCAACACAAAACATATCATTTATTAAATACCGTATGGGCATAGAAGAGATCGCGGCAAAAGCGTGAATTTTTCAGCCGCGTGAACTTACGTTGAGGATGCGTTTATTACGTTGCAGATGCGTTTTACGATCGCGATCGTAAAAGCTCGGCTCGAGCCTGATTTTTCGACTTTAGGCTCGATCTCTCAAGCTTGTAGGCCAGGCTCGGCTCGGCTCGAAAATGGAGCTGCTCGCACACCTCTAATATTTGTTCATTAAAGGATATCTTTACTATCAATTCTGCACAGCAGTATATTTTTCCTTTTGTCTACGTCAGTGCGGAATTTCCCCAATGAAGTAAATTTCTTAAACACCTTTAAGGGACTTTGAATACTGCAACTAGGAACTAATAGGAAGGAGTCTACACTAAGTATCACATTGTAAAATCTAAAGCCCTTTTTTAACCTATGTTTCATGTGTGGTTACATTTGAGTCTCCTGATGGTATTGTACAAATATTAACGTAAACTAGCATTTGATTCTAACCTTTTGACATTAGACAAGTTTATTCTGGTTTTTTAGCAAATTTCCCATATAATATTTCCCATAAATTTCCCATACTACAATAAGCTATTACTGTAAGTCTCATGGTAAGACCTGGTCCCGGGACCGATTTACTTTTTCGTTTTGATGTCCCCAGCAAGGGCGATACTAGACATATATTTTTTTGGGGGGGGGGGGGGGGTAATCCATATCCCCCAGCAAAGGAGGAAATTTGAAATAACATGCTAAAGTGAGTGGTTTTTAAGCTATTTTGAGGACCTAGTTTAATGTGTTCAAGCTTCCCAGTTTATTTAAAGGTCATAGAAATGTCTAAAAATAAACTTGTATAATGTCATGTTTTTGCATTATTGAGACTTGTGGTTTTAATATCAAAGGAATATCGCAACATTACTACACAATCAAGCATAATTGATTTACAAAAACACCTTTACAACTGGTGCCGATGTGCATGCTAAACAGAAAATGTCCAAAATCAGACCAAGATTTCGAACCAGAGAACTTATTTTATCTAAGAAGTGTTTAAGAACTTACACCCAACACGACTGCATTATACCTGCCCAGTAAGCAACAGTTAACCTACACAAAGTAAGGGCTCAACGTGAGAATAAAGTTTTTGTGCTACGTTTTTGTGGTTGTGCCGGGAATTAAATCCGTCCCTTCCGCATCTAAGTCTGAGACACTACCATTTTGTTGTTGTTTTGTGGCTAGCAACATGCCAATTGGGTTGTGATATTCTTAAATATGATATCATGTGCTCTAAATATGAGTACTATTTATTATTGAAAGTTTAGAAATTTGCTACGGTAATCATTGAATTACATTACTGTAATGACAAATTCCTAACGCTTAACTCAGATAAATTAACATTCAACTACGGTACTATTTCAACTACCTATTGATACAACTTCTTTTCTTTATCCAATACCCAATTCAAGTTTTCAATAATCTAGGTTAAAATGAATGATAACATTAAATGCCGAAAAATTAAATGAGAAGAAGAATGCGGCCGAACGTCGAACGTCAGCATCGGACACTGCCGTTGCTGTATACATCGGTGTATAATAACTATTATACATCGATGGCTGTATATGGCTGAAAGCGTCCGTCGTCTGCCGATCTTCCCTACTTTTCATAACGTATAAAAAATAGTCAGACTCAAAGGATCCCGAGTTTTAGGTTAGAGTTTGTAATTAGTCCTTTCGTTCGCCACAAGTGTAAAGATTACAATGAATTTCAATTTGGTAGAACGATTTGCAATAAAAATAATTTAAGTTAGTTTATGTATATAACAAAAATAAAGTAAAATAAAGTTGAAATGTTAAAAGGAAGCACTGGCTCTCAAGAAAGCCCTGTATGGTCGTTACAACCTACATGTGGCAGTTGCTCAGGAAGATCTTGCCTACGCTCTCTACGTGCACGAGTACAGTTCAGGCAACTTCAGGATTGCAAGGTAACCCTCAAATAATCTATCACTATCATTGATTTTAATTAAGCACATTTAAACAACTAGTAACTTCTGAATATAGTAAGAGTTAAAATGTCAATATTGGAAGTTAATTAGAGGTGAGCAAATATCCGAAGATTTTGGTCGGATTAGGTTAGATAATATCCGTAATCGAACTGAGCCCAAATTTGATGTCCGTCACTATCCGTTAAATGTCTGACTGTTTCAAGTAGACTGTAAATTATGTCTGAAGACAAAATCTTCATAAGTTAATAATCTAATCATCATTCAGTGTCAGTTGCTTTCTTAATGTTTTTCTCTTTTGTTTTGTTCAACAACACTATTACATGTATCACTAAGGCTGTGTTATTAATGTAATTGTTGTCAATTCTCAATTATTTTGTCTGTCTTGTTTACGTATTGCAATCATCACTTTGTTAAATTTTCATATTGTAGCCATTAAGCAAATATCTATCTTTTGTGTAGTTAAGCATGTACTATACATACATTTATTATTATCAGTTGTAAAAATATGTCATGATGTTAACTAGGGGTGGGCGAGTAGTGATTTTTCAATTCGAGTCGAGTCGAGTATTTGAGTAAAAACTCAAGTATCGAGTCGAGTCGAGTAGTTGCGCGTTAAGTAGGCCTAGGCCCAGGGTTTAAGACATAAGACATAAGACATAAGACGTTTATTGATCTTTAGGCAAAATTACATGCAATAGATCTTGTCATGGATGCTTGAAATGCACAAGACAGTCATAAGTACAATAGTAAAACATGCTGACTAAAGCAAACATAAAAATAAGTGTACATTCTCAAAATTAAATAAGATTGGCTATTTTGGGGGGAAAAAAAACTAAAAAACATCATGCAAAATTGATGGAGCTAAAATCTGCTTCAAAGTATTCTTTAAGGCTGTAGAAGGGCCTTACTATCAACCATGCATATATCACATTCTTAAAACTACCTAAGCTAACATGCTGAGCTGAAAAAGGCAAGCAATTGAAAAGGTCAATACCTGTAGCTTCGAAGGACGTGAGAACCTTGGTCAGTCTTGTGTAGGGTCTGCAGATTTTGTTTTGACCTCGTGTACCATGGTTGTGTACGTGCCTGTGGAGAATGAGAGTGTTTAGGTGCTTTTTGGTATGTAAGAGACATGCAAAAATGTACAAGTTGATTACAGTTTGAATTTTTTCCTGTAAAAAAATAGGTTTGCAGTGTGTATTTGTGTCAGAGTTAGTGATGATTCTCAACATCTTCTTCTGGGCTACTAACACACTACTTATGGAGCTAGAATTTCCCCAAAACATCAAACCATAGACAATTCTACTTTGAAAAAGAGAGAAATAAACCATTCTTAAGCAATCAGGGGATATGCAGACTTTTAACTTTCTAACTAAACATATTATTCGGTGTAGAGATTTACATAGGTGTTTGACATGCTCATGCCATGTTAGTTTCGCATCTATGTGCATACCTAGGAGCTTAACACACTGAGAGAATTCATTTTCTAAATTACCAGCACTGGTCAAAGTAAAAACAGCAGTTTGAGTTTTTTCCCTATTCATTAACAACATATTGGCTTTGTACCACTCATTTGCCTGATTAAGAATATTATTAGCAGCCACTGGGATTTCAGTAAGTACCAAATTTTTTGTGAGAAAGGTTACATCATCAGCAAATAAGATGGATTTACATTCAACATTTGAGGAAAGATCGTTTATGGCTATTAGGAACAGTAGAGGGCCCAGTACCGATCCCTGTGGTACCCCGTACTTAACCTCAGTTACATTAGAAAATGAGTTGTTTGACGAAACTTTTTGGAGCCGATCACTGAGGTATGATTTCAACAAAGAATTTTGATTGCCAATGATTCCATAAAAATCCAATTTGTGCAAAAGAATATTACGATCGACACAGTCAAAGGCTTTTGACTAATCACAGAGGACTGCGCCTGTGGGATTTCCGCTTTCAAAGCCAGCAAGTACGTGACTTATGAACACTTCGACTGCATCGATCGTAGATCTACCAGGCCTGAAACCATACTGACAGTCAGTAAAAAGGTTAAGTTGTTCAAAAAAGTTACTTATTTGATTTTTTATTACAGTTTCAAAGACTTTTGAAATAACAGGGACCAGAGAAATCGGCCGGTACCCTCCTGGATCACTCCTGCTACCTTTTTTGTACACAGGCACAACTTTAGATATTTTCAGTTTGGATGGGAAAATCCCCTCATTTAGACTGGTATTAATACATAAAGCTAAAGGTACAGCTACTGATTCCATTAAGGCTTTTAAAAGGACTGATGATATGTCATATACATCACAGCTTCTAGATGACTTCATATCTTTGATAATCTTTAGAACACTCTGGCCACTCACTGGAGTCCACTGTAGGTTGACAGGAGGTTTCTTCAGATGGTCAGTTAGCAGTTCACCAGCGGTCACGTCTGTGGGTTCGATGCTCTCTCGAGTCTCCGTCACAACCCTCTGGAAGAAGTCACTGAAAGCCTCTGCAGATGGCTGAGGATGGACAAAAGCTGAATAGGTCCCACTCTCTTCCTTGACTACTTGCCAGGCTGCTTGGCACTTATTTTTTGCAGCATTAATGAAGTTGGTGTTGTGATCCTTCTTAGCTTTAAGTAACATGGACTTGTATTCCTTGCTTACTATTTTGTATTGATTTTTGATAGCTTCCTCACCAGTAGAACGGGCACAGTCGAGTAAGAGCAAAAGGTAGTTCCTCATACGTGCAAGTTGTGGAGTAAACCACTTCTTTTGCTTTGATTTCCTGTTGAGCGAAGATCTAGTCTTCAATGGTACAAATAGGTTTAACCAGTACATAAATATATTGTGAAATTTGTTATACCTGTCCTCTGCGTTCAGACCGTGGAGTTCAGCATACCAATCAATGTTCTCGAGGCATTGCTTGAGATCATAAAGCTTCAGGTCGTCGAATGGCCTATAGGTTAGAATGGCATTCGAGGGAGGCTCCTCGTTTTCACACAGAGTTGCATTTAGGTTAGGCCTATTAATTTTGACACTTAGAAAACAGTGATCGGATATTGGCCAGTCATGCACATCAACCGAGTAGTTAAAAGGTTTAATATTAGTCAGTATATAGTCTATGCATGCATTTGCCCTTGTAGGTCTGTAGTTGGTGCAATAGATATCCGCCGATCGGAGAATATCATGAAGCCTGAGCGTGTTAGGCTGTTGTCCAGATGCTTCGATGTTCAGGTCACCGCATATTACTATATCTTGATCATATTTTGTCAAAAAGTCCAGTAATAAGTCCAGTTTTTGAAAAAATACAGTATCACTACTGCCACTGGGTTTGTAGAGTGAAACAATAATAGTGTTCCATGTCTTAAGCCTAATGGCACAGGCTTCAAAATTTCTCTCTACACAGAACTTACTAATGTCTATCTCCTTAAACTCCGTATCTGGAAGAACATATATCGCTGCTCCTCCATGTCCAAAACACGAGCGAACATATATTGACGCCAACTGATAGCCTGAGATATTATAGAGTAAATAGTTATCTGCGGCTAACCAATGTTCAACTATACACAAGATGGTATACAATATAGGAAGAGCCACCATTTCGATGTCTATAAGCTTGTTGGTAATACACTGCACATTACCGTACAATATTCCGAGCGTTGGTTTATTATTTTGTACACAAGTTGCTTGCGTCGATTCCGAGGAAACGTTACTTAGGCTTGTCGTTGGCTTCCTAAAAAAACCTTAGATCTCACAAAACGGCTTGATTTCTTTTGAATGAATTTTTGAATAAGTGTTCCTTCCGGCCAAAACTCAGCGCACAATACTTTGTCCAATTGTAAGGGTTCCACTCCTATTTTGAAAGACCTATAGCTATTGTAACGAGTCGAGATCTCCTCACAGCATGCACTTTCTATTCCGTTATCAGCCAAGTAGTCATTAACTAAAGAATTATTTACAGAAACGTCTAGTCTAGAAATAAAGATCCAGGATTTATTAACTGCTTTGTTTTTGACAACAGTCTTCAGATTTCCAACAGCACTAGATTTTGTTCCTATGATTGGGACTTCAGTCTTCTTAATAGGCCTATTACTTACAAGTTGACTACTATCCTTAGACCTATGCCCACTCTCAGTTGAAGGGTTGATTTGAGAATTAGGTTGTTTATATCTATTAGAAGAAGGTAATTTCAAAACATCAGAGAATAGTTTACCTGATTTTGTTTGTTGGTTCGATCCATGAACTTCTGAGTTTACAGCAGGACTAGTAGTGGCTTCAATTTCTAAACCAAGGGAGGTTATGTTATTGACAGATGCAGATACGTTACTATGTTGTTGACTGTTTGTAGAGTCTGAGCATAGAGTCAAGCTTAGGCCTATGTCTGGTTGATTACTCGATGTTGATCCATCAATTTGATGATCCTCCACTGGTTCGACTTCGGTTGGTTCGATTTGCAGACAGCTAACCTGTTGTCCTAACCTAGCATTTTCGTCAATCAGTCTATCAACTTTTTCATTTAGTTTTTTGTTATCACTAAGTATATTGTTAACTTTTCCCACCAGTAAGTTGATTGTTTTACTGATATTGGTTAGATCTGTAGCTTGGCAGTCCGAATCAAATATACAGTATACCTTTTCCAAACACGCAGCACAGAACCAATGTACAGACGACGATAGTTTATTGATTTGCGTATACTCCCTTGAGCTAATATTTACACAGTTTATATGAAACCACTTTTTACAGAAAGCTTCACACTGTAAACCTTTGTCAGTTTCTTGAACGATTATATTACATTTATTACAAAACTCGGAACCGGCACACGTGTTAACCGTATCCAACGCCATTAGCCAAAAAAACAGTTTATGCTGTGGTAGTATTTTTAGCATCTTGCTATTCACAACTTAAAAATTCTAAGTTTAGATTGTTTTGCAGGATAGGCCTATGGCAAATTTTTTACAAATAAAATTGAAAGATGTAATGTTCAAACAAATGTAATAT